TATTTTTTTTCAAATAAAAATAAAAATTATTTGGTTCAAATAAAAATTATTCAAATAAATATATTTATTTTGATAAAAGTCAATTATTAGAATCAAATAAAATTTGTTTTCAATATAACCTTGAAAAGTAAAATTAACTAAAGTATAAGTTAGTATCAAACTAATAATTAGTTAATTTTGAGTAAACTAAAAAAAAAAATAAACTTTTTTTTTTTTAAAATGTTATACCTGCAATCAAACGCGTGTTACATAATCGAGCGTGCGAAAGAACTGACCCCTGATGCACTTGCTATAGTTATGTTTACAACTAGAAAAGATAGAGGTGTGTATTAAATATACCATTTCATCATCAAAAGAACCGTATAACCAATCGTCTCATCTATCAAAAATTATCTTCACCCTGTGCATCGATTCCAATTAATTATACCCAGAAAAAAATTACTAATTCCTTCTCTTTCAAATATTTTTGATTTAAAATGTTTTTTAACAAAAGTAGTAGGGGAGAGTGGGGCAAAACCGGGTACCCCCAGTTTTCCATGATACACTGAAAAAAAATCTGGTTAGGCTATATTTAACATTACTTTCTAGTTATGTTAACCAGAATTCTAGTTGAATTAACTAGAATTCTCGTTAAAATAACCAGAATTCTGGTTAACCTAACCAGAATCAAAATGTTAAATATACCCTAACCAGAATTCTGGTTATTCTAACTAGAATTTTTTTTCAGTGTAGGTATTTCCATTTGTGTCACCCATTACATATATCTTTTATATTACAACTAACATCATTTTAATTGTATAACCACTATATCAAAATTTATTTATTATATTTTATGTATTATTATATTTTATTATTATTATAAATTTTAGTTCAAAAGAAAATCCATTTTTTATCAAAAGTAAATCACTTATAAAACTTTTTGTGTCGATATATTCGTTTCGGCAAGTATAACATCTTTTTTAGCATTTATTTACGAGTAATTTTCCTTAAAAATAATTGTTAAATTATTAACAATAAGCTGAGAATTTTACATTTTATTAAAAAATGCAGTGCAGGGCAAAACCGGGTACCAAACGGTGGGGCAAAATCGGATATATTTAAATGCATTACACTATATATATTTAAATTTTATCGCAAAAGAATCGACATGTATGTTTCGAAATCGATGTTTAACTTTCGATATATCAATTATTTACCATATCGATAAATAAACGATAAAAAATTAACAAAAATATAAAAAATTTTGTTTTAAAAGATTTAACTGCTGTTATTCATTATTAATATAATATATTTAGATTAAATTTATTGAATATTGATTATTTTCTATAATGTAAGTGATATATAATAATAATAACAACAAAGGCCAACACTGATTTTGGTGCGGCAAATGTCAGACCTGTTTTTGATATGTTTTTTCATGCTGAACATAAATCCGTAAACGAAAAGTTCCTATCAGCTCTAGTTTTTGAGAAAAACGGGTTTTAAATGTTCAAAAATCGCGTTTTTGGCTAACTTTGAGTACTTCTAGCACTGAAATAAAAGGTCGTAGAACCTTCCACTTGGGCTTAAATTGAAGCTTAATGTTTCAACAATTATCCCCAAAAATGACCTATGTTGCACCATAATTTCAAAGTCATTTGTTATCATTTTTGATTCGCAAATATTAATTTTGTAAAAGTTTGAGCGCGTATCTCTAGCAAAGAAAAGAGGATCATAGAACCTTTTATTTGAACTTAAAATAAAGTTTGAACTTTAGACTACAAGCCCTAAAAATTATATTATTCACTAATAACCTCAAAATTGTTGGTAACTAGTATTTAACTACAGAACTTATTTGGTAATATTTGAATAACTCTAGTCAATAAAATCAAAGGTCAACCTTCTTGTTGAGCTTCAATTCAATTTATCCCTCGACTGTAGTTCATAAAAATTACATTGCTGCACCTTAACCTCAAGGACTAGATGTACGCGATCAAACTTTTACAAAATTAATATTTGGGAATCAAAAATGGATAACAAATGACTTTGAGGTTATGGTGCAAGATAGGTCATTTTTGAGGATAATAGTTAAAACATTAAGCTTCAAATTAAGCCCAAGTGGAAGGTTCTACGACCTTTTGTTTCAGTGTTAGAGGTACTCAAAGTTAGCCAAAAACGCGATTTTTGAACATTTTAAACCCGTTTTTCTCAAAAACTATAGAGCTGATAGGAAATTTTCGTTTACGGATTCGTGTTCGGCATGAAAAAACCTATCAGAAACAGGTCTGACATTTGCCGCACCAAAAAAGTTTGCTAATTTTGTTGGCCTGTGTAACAATTGAACAAATAAGAGTTAAAGAATATTCCATGATTTATATATTTTCTTGATAGTACCCGGTTTTGCCCCACCATCGGGGAAAAACCGAGAACTTTTGCATTTTTTTGAAAAACCTAGTTTAAATTGATCAAAAAATTTTTTTTCATGCAATCGACCTTATTTTCTCATTCTCTAATATTCAGGGAAGAATTTTCAACGAGATTTGAACTAATTTATTTGAAAGATTCTTTGTAAACCGAGAATTCCAAAAAAGTACCCGGTTTTGCCCCACTCTCCCCTACTTTTTTGGATAAAAAATCAAGAATTAACTCGGTATTTAATCTAAAAAGAAAAGTTCTGCTATAAACCAAAGATTTTTTTACACAGAAAATTAAAAGGCATTAAAATAAGCTGTAAAGCTTATTATTTGAATACAATTTTGCTTATTTTAATCTATTTTGGTATTAAAATAAGCAAAATTGGATTAAAATAATAAGCGTTGCAGCTTATTTTAATGCCTTTTAATTTTCTCTGATAATTACACCTAATTCTTTTAAAATTTTGTAAACATAAAAATAGTTTCCGTTTCTGAAAATATATCCATACTTTTAAAATCAATGTACAAAGAAACAAATTAATTGAACACGAGATTAGGGTGGTTTTTGAAAAATCAATATACCCAAATGTTAATTACAACATAGATGAATTTGAAAGAACTTTACGGAAGAATAATTACGAATCAATAGCAGTTTTTATTTTTTGTTTTAACGTCAAATTAATCGGCATTTCAAACAACCTGCCCTTGTGCAGGTTGAAAACTGAAGAGTATGAAAAGAGAAAGGGGGAACAAATTTTTTTTTTTCATAGGGTTAAAAGTACTTGACAATAACGTGTGCCCGTCTGTATATATATCTTCTAATGTTGATGGGAGGTCGTTTAGTCGAGCCACGCAGTCTACCAGTTCTTATACACTATATAAGGCAATCCGTATAATTACGGGGTAGATCCTAAACTTAAGGGTCGACTCAAACAGCAAGACATCCTTTAACAAAAAAAAAAAAAAGGAAAAAAAAGAAAGGGTGGAATTCATAGCAAAGGAGTCACCCCGCAGAGAACTTAAAGCTCAAGCAATGAAATACAGAAGCGAAGCCAAACAATGAACAAAAGGTCACTGGATATTCCACAGGATGTGGTTAACACTTTATTTTTATTTTTACCACCCAATAATTCAAAGAGGAAACAATTTTCCCCTATTAAACATAAAACATAATTTTTAAATATATTTTTCCTACTTTATGGATTTCTAATTATAAATTCAACTTTGCACTTATTAATTTTAATGACTTATTTATAATCATTCAAATTTTGTACCATAATTATTTTCTTGGTTCTAAATTTAACGTTAAACATAATATTTATTTATTTAACATGTTATGTTATATAATAATCTTTAAAGGCAATTTATATACTGAAAATATTTTATATGATTCAAATAATAGATTGACTACTATCAAATAAATATTTATTTGTATCAAATAATTGGTTTAAAAAAAAACAATTTTTTTCATTTGAAAAATTTATAAATAAAATTTACAATAAACCAAACATTTATTGGGATTAAATAAATATTTATTTGAATAAAAGCAAAATTTGTTTGAACAAATAAAATTTATTTTAAGTAACCAAAAAATTCTGTTAATATAAAAAAAAGTATATAATTAATTAAAACAAAACTTTTTTCTGAGTGCAATTTTTAATATTATTCACATCCCTAAAACTATCACTGAAAAAAAATTTATTTCATTCAAAATACTTGATTATCAAATATATTTACTTGAACCAAATAATATTTATATTTGAATTTAATAAACTGTATTTGAACCATTTCTGTATTTAAAGCAAATATTTAATTGGAATAATCACCACTTAATTAACTAATAATTAACACCAATAAATACAAATATAAATATTTATTTCCTAACAATCAAGCAAATATTTGAATGAAATAAAATTTTTTTCACTTTTATTGTCTTAAAAAATTCACATAGAAAAACTCATTAGATATAAAAACTATTCAAATAGGCTTGAAATAATTTTCCTCTTAAATTAATTTGTAAACTAAACAAATTTCAACCAAAAAAAAAAAATCCAGAAAAAATATATTTAGACTAAATTTTTTTTTTAATAATTTCCAAATTTACATATTTTTTTCCCTAAAAATATGATTTTAACTATATTTTTTTCAGTCTATTAATTTCAATTCTAAAATCAAAGTAAAAAAAATCTACTGTAGTCGAAAATCTGCAATTTCTGCTTATGGAGAGTTCGAGCCCATCACTTGTGCTAAAACCGAACGCCAACTTAAGAGGGGGTGACCACCCCCTAACCCCCCACCTATGAAGCGCGGAAAAGCGACTGCGAACGGTATTGATCGTCTTTCCCCATGGCATGGGGGTTGTTTCTCTTCCCCATGAACTGCCGCCATTACAGCCATGGATCTCCGTAGTACGGGAGAGTACAAGGCAAACCCCATTTCGCAATAGGGATTTTATTTGACCATTTTTCTCGATGCGCATGCTTCGCTCTCATATGTTTACATCTCAAAAATTTTGAGGGGAAAATTCTATCACTTAAGGGGATATATTTTTTTTTTTTAATTTTGTTGAAAAAAAATTTATATACACACGAAACTTAATCAGTCTATAAAGAACCAATATACATTTTGAATAATTGAGTTATTCATTGGTGATAGTCGCGCCCTCTTTGCGGGGGAGCCATTATATACAGAATATTGCAAGGACTCGTCTTCTGGACACGAGGTTGTTTTGTGCTCTTACAACGTGAAATTACAAGCAGAAAATTATCATCCCTTCAATGGAGGAAATTGGATAACTAATCAAGGACAATCGTCCATCATAAAATCGACAGAAGAGGTGAGTCAATTTTATTTTTGTATTAAAAAAAGAAAAAAAAAATTCAACAAATTTGCCGGCACTGACCGGTTGCAATGCACGCGGGCGCGTCAGTAATATATACAAAAACAATGCCACAATGTTGTCTCCTACACGATAGTTTAATGTTTCATTTCATTGTTTTCAAACTTCGCAGTATAATTTTTCTTTCATCTAACTACTGTAATTTTAAAGAAAAATATAATTGATTTTCTTTTTCACAAAAATGTTGAAATGAAGAAAATAAAATTTTAAAAATTATTTTTAAATGAAATTATAATTTTACAAAATATAAATTTCAAGCTAAAATAAAATCAAAAATTCTCTATCGTTAATTAATATTTAATAAGAATTTTTGAAAAATAAAATTATACAGTATATGTAAATAGTACTTAAAATTAATTCTAACTAAAATTGTATGTTTATTGGCCGATAAAAGTTTAATGAACATTTGCGGTTGTTCCAACTTTGCTAATTAAATATTTTCAAATGAGCAATATTTAACAACCACATGTGGTTAATTAACTAAGATCTATTTTCGAAATAATGTAATAATTCCTAAGTCTATATAGAACAATTAATTAATTTACCAACAAAATATTTTTTGTAAGAAAAAATATTTCGAAATAAACCCCTAAGAAACAATGAAAAACTAATATTAATTTAATTAAAATTAAAAATACAAAAACTAAATTCTATCGTTTTGTTCAATGAAAAAAATTTTCTTTTCATTTTACAATTTTAGTTTTATCAATTAAAATTTTTTCAATTTTTATTTTATTTGATTTTTGCTTTGATATCAAAAAATATTGTATTTTATAATTAAGGAAAATTGAATTTACTAACAAAAATCAAAAACGAAACCTATCGAATATTTTTTTTTCTCCAAGAAAATCTTCTAATCCGATAAGACTTGTGAATATTTGCGATAGTGATTTTAGCTTTGCTGAATAAACACGGGATCGACGCCAATTTTATGAGATTTTTGGCTTGGCTCCTCGATCCCTTTTTTTTCAAATGTATAAAAGCTTATATATTCGACGCGACACCACGTTCACAACTTTCCAATGAAATTTCCGCGGGTGCTTTATCGATCTTGTGCGTGTTGAGAATATCTATGTGCAACAGGCTCGAAACTCCTTGTCCTTCACAATTCGATACTATTTAAGCATTCATATCTCTTTTGAGAATAAAGAAAATTTGCTTTTCAGATTTTATACAAATAAAGCTAATTAGCTTCAATTCAGAAAATTTTAATCTTTATTCTATTTTTTTTTTAAATATTTATTTTTTATAGAAAATTTTTTTGTTTATAAATTTATAATAATTTAATTTATGAATTTTTAAATTATTTTTTTTTCCAAATTCGAAAAATATATAATACACGCGGAAAAAATTTGCTTTTCAGATTTTATACAAATAAAGCTAATTAGCTTCAATTTAGAAAATTTTAATCTTTATTCTATTTATTTTTAATATTTATTTTTTATAGAAAATTTTTTTTAAAATAAATTTATAATAATTTAATTTATGAATTTTTAAATTATTTCTTTTCCAAATTCGAAAAATATATAATACACGCGGAAAAAAATCTTTACCTGAAACAGCGATAAGTTTCACTGGTGCAGCGATATATTTCACCTAAAACAGTGAAAGTTTTCGCTTTTCCAAATAAACATATCGCTCTTCCAAATAAAGATTTTTTTCCGTGTAGAAATATATAAATTAAGAAAATAATTTAAAAAAAGAAAAATAGTAGTCTATTTTTTGTTAAAAGGCTATAAACAGTATTTTAAGCCTAATTTTAATTAAAACATTCTGCAATATTATTTTACACGGAAAGAAAATAAATAGAAAAATTTTATGAAAGCATTTTTAAATTTTATAAAAGTATTTTCCACGACTTGAAAATACTTTTACAAAATTTGAAAATGCTTTTATAAAGTTTAATATTTATTTTCTTTCTCTGTAAATATTTTTCATAAAATTTAAAACTGATTCCTAATTTTAGTAAATTTTTACTTTAAGTTTTTTTAGCCGTAAATTTTAAACATAAAAATCTATATTTTGAATCAATAAGAAAAAAACATATTTAATTCAGATAATCGGTTACCTGACTATTAACAAATAAATATTTATTTGCACTGAGAGGTATTTCTTTCAAATACAGAAATTATTATATTATACAGTTTATTAATTTCAAATATAAAAATTATTTGGTCCAAGTAAATATTAATTTGATAATAATAAAGTAACCGATTATTTGAAACAAATAAATTTTTTTAATTTTACAATGTGAATAATATTGCAGAGATAATTTTTGTTTTAACCAAATATTTTTTTTATATTAACACAATTTGTTACTTCAATGAAATTTTGTTTGATTCAAATAAATATTTATTTAATACCAATAAATGTTTTGTACACCCAGAGAAATGATTTATTTGAACCAAATAAAATATATTTGAGTTAAATAAACGTATTTTTGTCTCAGAGCCTACACAGAAAATTAAAAGGCATTAAAATAAGCTGCAACGCTTATTATTTTAATCCAATTTTGCTTATTTTTATCCATTTTGGTATTAAAATAAGCAAAATTGGATTAAAATAATAAGCGTTGCAGCTTATTTTAATGCCTTTTAATTTTCTGTGTACTAACTTATTTATTTGGCGTAAATAAAAATTTTATTTGTCAGAAATAAATTTTTCTTTGGCTCAAATAAATTTTTTATTTCAATGAAATGAAATATATTTGCAACAAATAAATGAGTTAGTAGGCTCGAAGACAAATATACCATTTCTCTGAGTGTAAATGATCAAATTTTAATAAATTTTTCGAATGAGGAACAAAATTGATTAAATTTTGGTTGATAAAATAAAAAGTTTGATAAGCAATGAATTTATTTGATTGTTTTAACCAAAATTTGGTTGTCTCAAACAGAATTTGGTTGTTTTAAATAATTTTTTTTCCGAGTATGATTATAAATTTTCAAGTTGAAACTAATTCGACTTATTTGGAAAATAAATAAAAATTTGCAAAATAAATGAAATATTTTGTATACATATTTGTATAACAGAATTGAGAAAATTGAAGATATAGTAAAATTGAAGCGGACAAATTGGACATAGTATATATGTTATACATATGGTGGAGTTCGATTCTGAATATAGCCGTCAGTACATCATGGCATTGAACTATAGCTTTCTATATGGACGAGGGACGGTTTATGGGGGATGGAAAATGATGGGGGTTACAACCACGAAAGAGGGGAACCGACGCTCAACTCAAGGGGTTGTGTTGGCAAGCATTGCGACGCGCTCAAAATCCGCGAGAGAGCTTTTTCTTTCGCGCCTTTCAACGCGAGACGTCAGTTAGGTAAAAACAACTGCGAGAAACAACAGAATTATATTATCGTTATTAAAAGCAATCGCGCGTTATTTAACAAAGAAGTGAAAAATCCGATTTTCCAACCGGTGCGTCGCTTTCTATATATTATATATATATATCCATGACAACCATCAGAGAACCAAGTGGAAAGGATATTCAAAAGACAAAGGACGCGCACTTGATTCAAAACCGAGATTCATCCTTTGATGGTGTACAAATTATAAATGCTTTCAACATTCTGATAATGTAAAATAGAAACTAATTTGACTAAAAGTGTTTTAAAAAAAACCGATTTCTGAATTTTTCAATTCTTTTAAATTCGCGAATTTTCAGTTCACTTATTATTATTTTAGCTAAAATGAATTTATGTTTACTAAAAAAAAAAAAAGAAATCAATCGATAGACTGGATAAATCGAGGATATAATGACTCGCCTACAATTGAATAACGTGTGAGTGGATTCGTTTCTCAAGGAAGCTTAAGCTTCGACCGTGTGACTTAAACAACTTGAGAGAAAGGATACAGAGAAGAAAGATCAAATACTCATCGTGAAGCTGTGAAGCGATTATTCTCTCGCGAGTTCCCGGAAAGATCGCGAGTGTGTATGTGCTTTTAAGAAAATCAATAACTTTGCGCATTATTAATTATATCATTTATAAATGTAAAGCAGAAAAATACAAAACAATATCCAGTAATAAATACAATAGAAGCCAAAAAAGTGATAAATAATTAAAAAAAAAAACATTGTCATAAAAAATGACTTATAACATAAATAATTAATTAATTAATGTAAAATATTATTGAGTGTTTAGAAAGGAAATATCATTATACTTTTACGGTGAAAATATTGGAAAATTACAATGCAGGTGAGAATTTTTATCGTTAAATATTTAAATAATAAATCAATTTTTATTATCGGAAAAAAAGATTTCAATAATAAAAATATCAGGAAATTATTATAATAATTATTAATCAATTAATTATTGATTAATTTATTATTAATTATTTATTATTATTTTTTGTATTATTTAATTCAGTTACTATTTCTTTTAATTTATTAAAATATTTAATTACACCCAGAGAAATGATTTATTTGAATCAAATGAAATATATTTGAGTGAAATAAACGTATATTTGTCTCAGAGCCTACTACTAACTTATTTATTTGGCGTAAATAAAAGTTTTATTTGTCACAAATAAATTTTTCTTTGCCTCAAATAAATTTCTTATTTCAATGAAATAAAATATATTTGCAACAAATAAATGAGTTAGTAAGCTCGGAGACAAATATACCATTTCTCCTGAGTGTACAATGAAAAAAAATTTTTTTGATTCAAATAATCAGTTACTTGACTATTATCAATTAAATATTTGAATTAATTTTTATTTAAATTAAATAATCTGTATTAGAACCAATAATTTCTGTTTTTGATACAAATTTTATTTAATTGACTCAAATAATTAATTATTTTATAGAAATATTCATTTCATACACTCAGAGAAATGGTATATTTGTCTCCGAGCCTACTAACTCTTTTATTTGTTGCAAATATATTTTATTTCATTTAAATAAAAAATTTATTTATGACAAATAA